TTCCTAAACGCCAACCATATTCAATATCTGATACTGCATTAGCAACTACAAACAGAAAAAAGAAAAATATTTAAAATATAATCGTATGTTTTTTTTTACAGCTGCCAATAAATAAATGACAAATTTGTGTATCAACAGGAAATCTTTTCAAATTCATATTACATCGAGCTTTTACTGTTATTCTATAAATAAACAAACACAAAGAAAATATAAAGAATAATCGAACAATGTTGTTCTTTTTTTTGTTTGTTACCGTGATGAATACCATATTGAACCATCTGGAAAAAGACGCCATAAACGATTACTTGTTGGTATTGTATGTAAATAAGAATATTTAGAATTATAAAATACTGTATCAGGTCTCCAAAGACGTTCAAGCATACGTGTTGATAACGAAAGAACACCAACTTCTTCAGCAAATTGAAGACGTTCATCACGCCATCGTTGTCGAAAATAACAATTCATTGTATACGACTAAATATATTATAAAATAAAAAATAAAAAAAATTTATTCGTTTCATACAAACCATATCCACATCTTGAATAGGACCAAATGAACTAACTAATATATCAAAATCAATTTTCGTTGGCATTTCTATATAAAATTAATGCCAATAAAACAAATGATATTAGATATTTATACTACCTCCAAAATTAGGTCGAATATGTGCTTGATAATCTTTTAAAAGTCCATCAAGTATTGTTGTGATTTGATCTGTACGTTTTGATACATTGATTTTATTATCATTATTAAATGTTTCATTCACAAATGATTGTACATTATTTAACATACACATGTATAGAATCCATTTTATTATTACAATTATATACATTTTTATTTTGTATTAACACTCAACAAAATCTGCATACTATATTAATATTTTTTTAACACTGTCTGTTATTTACAGCTGTAGCTTGAAGCAGTACAATGAAGACACTTGTTTCGATTCTATTGGGAAAAGAAAATAATTATGCACATCAATAGATCTTGTTTCTTTTTATGACAAGCAATTGTTGTTCTAGCGATCTATTTTCTATAGAATTTGATCGATGAAAGACGAAGACATTATGTGAATATATATTCCTCTTATATATAGAACATCTTATCAAATAATAGTAGTAATGAAGTTTTTGACCAGCTGTTTTGTATTAGATTCGATTAATTAAGCATAAAAGAATAGCTTTAGCTCAAATGATAGATAAATCTATGAAAGACTTGTATGCTCGTCGTCGAGAAGAATCTCTTATTATCATATTAATATGATAATCAAATATACGAGCTTGGATTTCATACAACATAGAACAATATGTAATGTTGGAATTACTTTACTGACATCAAAGAATTATTTGTTGTTTTGGAAGGATAAAATTAAAATGTTAATTACATTAAGTATATTTGATAGTAATCTCATATATTTATCAACTTCTCTTTCCACAGTTACAGTTCTAATTAGAAAATAATATTATTATAAAATATATGATTAACGTCAAGGTATAAACAAAGACTTCTTGCCTTATATTGTTATCACTGACTTAGTATTCCAATGATCAGTGATATCTCAAATAGAAATTTCAAACATTCAGAATTGTTTCTACACGACTTCTATAAATCGAATATTGAGGACATTAATTAACAGCCAATAGTTTTCTCATATAACAATTGTTGATTCGAATTCATTATCTCTCACTTGTTAGCTGAACCAAGACAGGTAAACACGACTGAAATTCATTATGATTCTCTACACAAAAGTCAAATAGTTAGAAATAGTACATGTCGTATAGGATTGTGTTCTGACATTTTTCGAGCTCATGCGATCAGTCGCTTTTTCTACGCGATCTTCACTCGAGTGGCAATCTAGTTATTACATGACTTCCGAGAAATCAAGTTAAAAATAGAAGAACATTATATTCAAATAGTTGCCTAATTTAATGATAGAAATATTTTACAATTCATCTCTTCAGTAAAAAAATATAAAAAAATATACTATTATGTTTTACTACGTATCGATAGAATAGATTTTTTCAGTAATTTATCTCTATAGTTTCTCATAATGACAATTCTATGTCTATGTCTATTAAATGTGTGCCTTTGGAAGACATTCATAATTCTTTAAATAAAACACGAAGTATTGCAATAATGAATTGAAACTTTTGAAACAAAGTGATTTCTCTGAAGTTTACTTTTAAATAGAAATAAGAAGTTGTACTGAATAATAAAGTGTCAAATCTTACTAGAAATCCGTATGTAACTGAAAAATATTATTTCAATGTGACAATTAAATAAATAAGAGAACTAAAGAAGTTCTCATTATTAATTGAACTTAAAGCTGTATTACTTATGTCATAGATAAAGATAGAGATAAAAGTTGTGGGTGAGGATCTTCTCTCCATTCTCACACACAGTAATGCCTACATCTCTATCTGATTAAAAAAGTCTTAAAATAGTAAAATGTTTTGTTCGTTTTTTTCTGACTATAATTCTTGTTCGATGTATATGGATGAATCGTATTTCATTTGTACAATTGCATCATCGGTACTAAATCATGAATATCTCTTGTTCAGAAACTCCAAATGATTTGAAAATCTTACACAATACTCCTCTCGATGTTTTCCTACATTCCTGAAAATTTGAGAAGTCTACATCACTCCTATCTCGAGTTATGCCTCTTGGAAGTAAAAAAGAAAGCAAAAATTGGAGTCATCTCTTGACGAAGACAAAAAATTTTTTTCATTTACGAAAAGTTTAAGCTCGCGTTTTCTTCAGTGCAGTTAGGTAGAAAAAAGTGCAGAGAATTCGAATCTGACTTTAGTTTTCTTTTTAAAAAAGCTATTTTTAATAAATATACGCAAAACACTGACTTGACATATACTTTGTCTTTTTTTGTCCCGTTATTGCAAAATATGATTTTCTCTGGACAGAAATATGTTGGCCAACTTGGAGCAGTTTGAAAATAAAGACGACCGGTAGGAACAACTTTTCAAAAAATAAATTCTAGGCTGTATCAAGATCTAGAATGGGTATGGGTGGACACGTTTTGAAAAAGTCATATATATATATATGCTCACTTTGCACCATCATACTTTGAATTTTGTGATTTGAATATCTCTTTACCGGGTTGGTCGTTTTGCGTGAAATTTATACCTCTTTTTCTCTCTATGTTTGCTACTTGTAGTAAAAAAATCAGCTCTTTGTCGCGTTCCACGGCTGACATAATGACAAGTTATATATGAAATGTCCCGTTATATTTTTTTTTCATGCAAAATATCCTGCTATATAAAAAGTTGAATATCTTCATCAAATGAAAATCAATTGTATACTTATTATACACCATTCAATTCGCCATCGGTAGGCGCATTTAATGATATATCTTTCAGAGTGAAGTATTCCTGCATAGAAAAAAAAGCTACAGATATACTCCGCTTTCTAAATAATCAAGTTTTCACTAATATATTGTATAACTTTTCACAAGTTTCCTCATGGACTATATTTATTCTGACGTTCAATCACAAAACGTTAGATAAATCTAATCAAGCTGCATCGATTGATGCATGATTTGTTCTATTCTGTTAAGAATTACAAATTAGTTTGGCCGAATACCATGAAAATTCATGTATATACAGGACGGGTCATAAGTCACTTTACTAACAAAAAAATTGAATATCTCCATTACGACTCGACCAAACGGGTTCATTTTTTTATCCAAGGATAGAGGCGTGTTCACACTCCAAATCCATACGGACGAGGTTAGTGAGAACCTATGTTAAGTATATTTTGTTTTCGTTTTCTATCTGTGAACAAGTAAAATTTTCTTGTTGAAGTCAATAGTGATACTTAGCAAAGGTTCTCACTAATCTTGTTCATATGGATTTGGAGTGTGAACATGCCTCTATCCTTGGTAAAAAAAATGAGCCCGTTTGGTCGAGCCGTAATGAAGATATTCAATTTTTTCTTGGTTAAGTGACTTATGGCCCACCCTATATATATATGCATATATTTTCATGATATTACAACAGTGACCTTATTTTTAAGCAAAGTGTAGGAAAAAAAGTATTTTCTAGGTTTTCAAGAATGCTCTATCAAAATATAGAGCTAGTTTTTTATATGAACACTTTGTTTTTTTCGATTTTTTTCGTTTCAATTGTACAAATGGAATACGATTCATCCATATATATGATTAATTCTTGTAGAATAATGACCAACAAATCTTGACAGAAAATTACATTTGAAGTCGTATATCTGAATAAAAATTTAATGGCGCATCTGCTGAAGATAAATAGCAAAAGAAAAGTTGAATCACAACTTCGGCAAAAAACAACCTAAAGAACTGTATCGTTCGCTAGTAACTATTTTCCATTATACTGAGTGTTAGTTTTTGCTCTTATTAGATCATAAAGAGCTTCAAGAAGTCGGAATGACTTGTAATATACACTAAATAGATAATACTGTATGACTTTATCATGACTAATGAATCGAACCAGATCCTCATTTGAAAGCATACATTCTACTTGTATGATCGTATCGATAATATTCACCTATTTTTATGTATTAAATACTTTATTGTACCTAATGCTTAACAAATATTTGCTTCTAATCAGCACTCCGGATGAAATTAAATGTAATCCTATAGAAGCTTCAATGTTAACTACAATATGGATCCAAATCTGTTAAACCGATTTTGTTGATTGATTGTCCGCTATGGGAGAGGGAACGGAGCACTCTTCGAAAAATCGAACTGGATGATAGAATATAATTAGTTTGTTTCTATTTTTTTGAATTCACACAGCAATTTTTCATAAACATGTTGCAACAAACAAAAACTACTAAATATGATAATTTTTAATACAAAAAAAAAATATCAGTAGTAAATATTACTAATATTAAAAAAATGATCATCTTATATAACATTGTCATAAAACTTTTACTATTGAATTTTTTTCATAGAACAGTTGTATGGAATAGTGAATGTGACACTGAGTTGCTTTTTTAATTCATCATTATCTTAAAATTTTTTGTCAATATATAAAATACGAAGTGATCGTATATCAGAAATATATGGTGGTAAAGTCTCCAACTCATTGTCATTAAGTTTGAGCAGATAAAGATTTCTAACATTTCGAATAAATGGTGATACAGATCGAATATGATTCATATCAAAATAAAACGACTTTTTACTACTTGTTCTATAACCTAATGTTTGAATGCCATTAAGGTTTTTTAAATTATTATTTGACATATATAAATCGATTAATTGTGGTAAATTACGAGGTAAATTTTCAATTGAACAATGCCTTACATCCAGTATTTCAAGAGATTCAAGACCATTGAGTTGTTCCACTGAATGAAGATATGAATTATTTTTCAATGTTATTTGTTGTAATAATTGAAGCTTTTTAATAGTAATTGGTAATGATGTTAAATTGTTGTAAGGTAAATATAGCATATTTAATGAAGATAAATTACCAATAGAATTTGGGAGACTTGTAAGACCAACATTTGATAATTTTAATGTTTGTAAATGTATTAATTTACCCAATGATTCTGATAAATGAGTAATCTTAGTATTTTTAATACTCAATTCCGTAAGTGACGGTGGAAAATATTCGATCAAATTCATTTGTTGACAATTACAACAATAAAGACATGTATTTTGTATATATAATCGTTTCAAATATTTTAAACAAAAAATTGTAGATGGAATGACTTTCTGATTAACAATATTTAAACGATGTATATTTCCATTTTCATATTTCAAACCGTATGTTTTAGAAAAATCTTTGGATCGATTAAGAGGAATATCAAATAAAAATGATTTAATAACATTTTCATCATTTTCAAACATAGAACAATTAGGTAATAAATCTATTTGCGAAACATTTTTGATGTCTAAAAATATAAGCAAACTTTCATTGAATAAAAAACTTTACTACTTACCAGATTTTATATTAGTCAGACTTGCAACAACATTCGAATTAAGCTGTATTAAATAAACAAAAAATAAATAGGAAACTGACAACTGATGTTTATTCATTGTATTCGATACAATCAAAATCTAGAATATTTGTTATTTATCAATAACATATAGTAAAATATTACGAGAAGTAAAACATATTTTTGAAAGAAAATAACAGATGCCTGTCTGTTTTTTTCTATTCTTTCAAGTTTTGTTTTAAGATTATCGTTTTTTTTTTATGTTTCTTATCTTTTGACATACCTTTATTTTCTTATTGTTTATCCAAATAGTACAGACGTCAACATAATACTTAATTTATCGCGATATGTTCGATTATATTTCATAACTCATGAAAATATTATCATTTTCACAATGTGACATTTAATACTCATTCATTTGTTAAAAAATAAGTAATTGATAAATCAATATGAAAACAATAAATGTAAAACAATGAGAGAGAAAGAAGAAGCCATCTCATTTATATAGAGTTATGTATGTGTTCAATGAGATGTGTTGTTACGACTATTAGAAATTGACACAATTATGACTAACAAAATTGCATCATATGTATGTAATGTTGTAACAAGAAAAGGAACTAGTGAATCATTAAAGGCACACCTCATTCTAATTATTGGTTGATGAATATTGATAAATCATGTAATTGTTTTGTTAGATATATTTTTCGAATAAAACATAAGACAAATAAATTTAATAATCTTCATGCAAATAAATAACTAAACACTGATTCACTTAATTATTTATTTCTTTAAATTATATATAGGAAAAGAAAAAGTCAGGAGACGAATAGCATAATTGAAACATTGGACTTAAAGTTATTTCTGTCCTCCTTTCGATTATAAACAGCTTACTGTTACAGAATTACTGAATTTAAATATCTTTTTTCATGTTACTTAGCATTATGCAAAACACCAGTTTTCTTGAATCTGACTGCTTACGACCTCACTCTAACTTTGTCCGATCGGACTGGAATTTTTACTACAGATACTTAGAAGTATCCTTCAGAGGTAAAATCAGCTGTTTTTGTTTTTGGCTTTCCTGTATGGATTTATAGGACTCTGAAAGTCAACATCCTAATTTTGACTTCGAATATTTATATATTTCTCATTAAAAAAAAAGTAGATTGTCGAAAACGTTCAATAATACCTCTGAAATAGTTTCCAAAAAAAAATTTTCAGTTGGATCGGATAAAGTTTGCTAAGGGCTTGTAATGTACCAGAATCCGATCCTATGGAAAATCAGAATTTTTCTAAAACTTCCCTGAAAATTTTTCTCCTCGAATACATGTCTCTTTATTCGAAGTGCGCTATCTGCGACAAAAATTTCAGTATGATTACTTGTACTCTGTTCAAGAATCAGAAATAGTCAAAAAAGAAGAGCAGGGAGGAGTACCCTTAAGTTTAATCAAACAATTAAATCATTCGGTTCATAAAATATATTTTTTTTACTATTTTATATAAAATAAATATATACGGTAATTGACCAAAATCTCCCACTTATGTCAACTATCATATATGCTCGAGGTCTAAAAATCTGTGTGCACATACCAAGGGGGAAAAGGCGGTACTCCAGGAGTGCATACTCCAACGATACTCCACTCGACTCCACCGATACTCCACTCTACTCCACTCTACTCCACCGATACTCCACTCGTACTCCACTCTACTCCACTCGTACTCCACTCTACTCCACCGATACTCCACTCTACTCCATCGGTACTCCACTCTACTCCATCGGTACTCCACTCGTACTCCATTCTACTCCACCCGTAATTTACCCTACTCCACTCATACTCCACCTGTACTCAGTCCTACTCCATTTGTACTCCACCAGTGATCCATTAGCATTCCCTTGTCATTTAGGTCCTCAAGTGCCATATTCTTGGAATACCCTTAGGTTCTCAAGGGCTATATTCTAGGATACCTTAGGTCCCCAAACTCTATATTCTGGAGATGCCCTTAGGTCGTCAAGGACAATATTCTAAGGCACGCTTAGATCCTCAAATGCTATACTCTAGAGGTACCTTTTGGTCATCAAGGGCTATATTCTGGAGAGCCGTGGGTCCTCAAGTGCCATATGCTGGGGATACCCTCAGCTCCTCAAGAACTATATTCTAGGGGTACCTTTAGATGCTCAAGTACTATATATTTGGGTACCTTTAGGTTCTCAAGGACTATATTCTGTAGTACCCTTAGGTCCTCCAATGCTGTATTCTATGGGTACCGTTAGGCCCTCAAGGGTTATAGTCTGGGTTACTATTAGATCCTCAATTGCCATATACTGGGGATACCTACACGTTCTCAAGGGCTATACTCTAGGGATACCAAGGGGGAAAAAAACGAAAATATCGTACTCCCGCGCACTCCTTGCACTCTCAGGCTATGTCATAACTACGTATCGGATCTTTCTAGCTATTTCAAGTCTACTATTGACTCGTGTTACTAGGGATGCAACGGTGACGATCATTCACCGGTTAACCGTAGGTACGGTTACCGGTCCAAGTACGATAACCGTAGATAGTTATCGGTTCAAACCCGTTGTCAACAAAAACAGCATTTTTTAAGAAAATAACGATATTTTATAAAGGTCGACGAAAGTAAATCGGCGTCGAGAAACCCGAATCTGGAGTCAGTTTTTGAAAATTTCGAATTAAATTTTTCCGACAAAAGATAGGTTTTTTTAGAAAAATAATGATATTTTATAAAGGTTGACGAAAGTAAATCGGGGTCGAAGAATCCGAATCTGAAGTCGGCTTTTGAAAATTTTGAGTTTTAGTTCTTCACATATGATGTTTTTCAGGGATAAAGTTTTCTAGAAAAAAAGACGACTTTCAAGGAGCGGTTTAGTCTTCGGAAGAGAAAATTGAAAAGTTCAAGGATTTGATTACAGATTCGGATTCTTCGACCTTGACTTACTTTTCGTCAACCTTCATAAGGTATCATTATTTTCCTAAAAAAACCTTTCCTTTGTCGAAAAAATTCAATTCAAAATTTTCTAAAACTGACTTCAGATTCAGACTCCTCGGCCCCGATTTACTTTCGTCAACCTGTATAAAATATCATTATTTTTCTAAAAAACCCTTTCTTTTGTCGAAAAAATTCAATTCAAAATTTTCAAAAACTGACTTCAGATTCAGATTCCTCGACGCCGATTTACTTTCGTCAACCTTTATAAAATATCGTTATTTACTTAAAAAATGCTGGTTTTGTTGACAACGGGTTTGAACCGATAACTACCTACAGTTATCGTACTTGGACCAGTAACCGTACTTACGGTTACCGTAGTGGGATCGATAACGGTAGCTACGGTTACCGTAGTTGGACGGATAACCGTACCTACGGTTACCGTAGTAGGATCGATAACCGTACCTACAGTTACCGTAGTGAGATCGGTAACCGTACCTATGGTTATCGCCACCGTTGCATCCCTAAGAGTATCCCTAGAATATGGCACTGAAAGACCTAAAAGCATCTCAAGAATATAGCACTTGAGGACCTAAGGGTACTTCAAGAATATGGCGCTTGAAGATCTAAGGGTACCCTAGAAGATAGCACTTGAGAGCCTAAGGGCACCCCACAATGTAGCAATTGCGGACCTAAGGATATCCCACAATGTAGTAATTGAGGACCTAAAGCTACCTCTAAAATATAGGCTTTGAGGACCTTAGAGCATCTACAGAGTATATCTTGCACTCCCCTCGTACGTTCATGAAGTATGGGAGTAGATGAAGTGTCGCTTTTCTTCCTTGCACGCTATACCATTCTACTCCAGTGATACTCCACTATACTCCAGTGATACTCCACTTTACTCCAGTGATACTCCAGTCATACTCCAGTGATACTACACTCTACTCCAGTCGTACTCCAGTGATACTCCACTCTACTCCATCAGTACTCCAAGCGTACTCCACTCTACTCCCGTGATACTCCACTCTACTCCAAGCGTACTCCACTCTACTCCCGTGATACTCCACTCTACTCCAAGCGTACTCTGCTGTACTCCAAAATTTACTTTGGAGTAGATGGAGTATCGCCTTTTCCCCCTTGGCACATACTATACTAAGAATGTAAGTTACAAACACGACCTTATTCTAATTGTTTAAATACAACGAAAACTATGATGGACGACGACTGTCTTTTCTTCAAGCTTTTACGCATGAAAAAAGTTTGTCTTGTAGATTTTCCGTTACTCACAATCGAATACATGACTTATTCTTGATATTTTAGCATGAAACTGAAACTCAGTTGACGCTGTTTCTACATGCTTCTGACTTCTCGATATCAACATAATGATTATTCGTATGCCACGTCTATTTAATAGAAGATGTATCCAAAGGCTAGCAGATAGATTTTCTCCTACGCGAGTTATCATAGAAAACTAGTCACAACTATAAAAAGGATTGACGATCGGACTCCGAGTCTTGATGAAACAATCTTATCCTATCCCATAGGACGAATATTTCTTGTTCTGAAATAACCTATAAGATCGAATGAAATTCTCGTTCCATGAGATTTTCTTGTCAAGAAAAATGTACATTTATATATGATAAAACATAGACTCAACATACTTGATACAAATGATGAGTAATAGGATTTAATACAAATATTTCGATTAATCTCATCAACTTTGTTCTCTTGTTTATATTTGATATACTGTGGAGCATTTGTAAATCGATAAAAAAACGAAAATATAATACAGATTCACATGATTATATAGTAAGACATAGTTGAGAACGTTCTTCTTGCACAAGCAATACTTAGAAAGTATCAATATAAAGACAAATGAAAATAAAAGTCTCTGAGTGCAAAAGGGCATACTTCAAAAAAAAAAGACACAGAAAGAGAAGAAAACTTTGAATTTTTCGTTCTTAT